AAAAAAAAAGATAGGTCGTTTAAGAATGAAGTGAAAACTGGATAGCTACAAGTGGTACCTTCCCAACTTTTAAGCGACCTCAAAACAATTTAAACGCCACCCGTTTCTCGCAGACTGCCCAGAAAACACTTTCTCTTCTACAAATACTCCGCTCCTTTTTCTATCTTGAAAAAAAAATTTAACGGGAGAAACGACACAAAGAGACACCTAGGAGAGGAGGGGCAGTAAAAACGGCAAACCCCAAGGAGTCGGAGGTGAGGCAGAACTGGATTTTTCCCAACACTGCCCTAGCTAACTTGGTTTATAAAAATAATAATGAAGGGGAAATAAGAAAACCATAGTAACGCTCATTTTGAACTTTAAGACCTGTACTTCTAGAATAAGCATAGAATCATCCGAACTGGTCAGAAAATGACTAACTGGTCTCCCGCTGCAGACTTTTGATCCAGTTTTCGTAGCCAGGGAGAATAAAGAAAATAAATTTAATCCTCCTCATTACAACTTCGTGAAGGCTTCATAGCGGCTGATACCTGGTAAAAGGCACTGAACTTAAATTACCATAACTGGCTAACTTACCAAACTTCTGCGCGCTATTTGACGCAAAAAATTTTAAAGTGTTCCTTGCCGGAAGGCATTGCAACAAGCTTGGTAAATGCTCACTAGCCTACCGTTCAACCCGAACCTGTTCTCGACTTCAAAATCGTGATGCGCTACTTGCTACTTATTTTAAGGAATACTTAAAATCCATTGTTCAGTAGCAAACAAAATAGGTGTTCAGCAACTTGAAGAGTTATTTTCAGAACTGCACATCTCGAAAGTTTTTCTTCAAATTTGATCCTCATCTAATAAATTTACAAAACTGAACAAATTATATTCAAATCAAAAACTTAAACATAAACCCAGAAGATCAATGGAGAGTTGGCACCTATTAAAGCTGCAATCCACAAAATGAAGGAAACTACAATTTAAGCGGTAAGAATAATAAAATTTACTAAAAGGCCATAAAGAAATTTATGCTCATACCAACAGGCTACAACAAAATATGATTTCGAGTCATTTCAATTCAGCAATTCAGATCTCAAAGAAAAATTGCGTATCATAACAGAACTGGGTGATACTACAGATAAAGCAGATAAAATAAAGGTCCGTAAAAACAAATATACTCACAATTATTTAGTCACTTTAGTTCACTGATTTAAAAAATTATAAAACGAACAGTGAACTCCACAATGAGAAGCACCGCCATATTAAAAAGCATGAAAATGCAATACCCTATGCAAAAATTGCTCAGATTCCTTGACAGATTCCGAAAAAGGCAATTAAAACTTTAAAACAGTACTGCATCGAAAAGGGCACTGGCAATCCACATCTTCTGGACCATATATTATGTAAGCGCCACTAGCCCTCGTACTATCTATGGCTGGGTGAACAATGTATGCAAAAAGATTGAAAAATGAATAAGTTATCGATGAACAAACAAAACGTATACTTCGGCGAGGGAAAAAAACAATGAAAAATTGTTTAATTATACAATGCCCTTCAGCTAAAAATGTTTTTAATATCTGTCTCAAGTGGAAATGAATAAACGTCGGTGGCTTCAACCAAAATACAAAAGGCAATATTAAAAATCTTTAAGTGATATGGTCTTGTAAAAAATGGCAAAAAACTTACACATTATTTTAAAAGTTAGACTTTACACTACCACTGCTGTCTTGGCGATATGGAAGTTCCTGTGGCAGAAAGACCCTGAAGTGTACCAAGTGCAGAATTGGACGCGCTTGGACCAAGTTTGCTGTTCGTTTCAAGTAATTCATCAGCTTCTTTGGCAGCTTCCTTAATATCTCTCAAAGTCCTAAATAGCCCATTTTATATTGCAAGCGACAAGTTTAGCAGGAAAAAATTTGAAACATATGATCTTTGCCGAAAGAACTTAAAATATAAAAAAACAGGTACTTAGCCCACTTTAGAAAAGTTGAATGAACGAAAAAGTTCACTGGATCTTCCTTTTCAATACTTTTAACGTCCATTTATAAGGACAGTCCTGGTAAAAATAGTAAAAGCTATAAAAATACAACTCTAATACATATATCAAGAAAAATGTCTTCCGCCCTCCGCCGAAGCGCTTTAAATCACGTAAATAAAAACCGCATAAACAGGAAAGCCAACTATTCCTTTCTAATTGTAATGAGACCAAAATAACAATGTGAGACAAATTTAACCTGAAACTCTTCTTCTCCCACAGAGCTTCTAAAGTTTACCTATGCTAATGAAATACATAGCTTCTTACGCTAAATTTTGTGAAGAAACTGAGGATTACTTCTATAACATTCAGATTTAAAAGAATAGGGCGCTAGCAAGCAATTGAATTAAATAATACTGATAGAACCAATAAAAATGAGCCCCTCGTGGATCTTTCAAATAACTGCAGCAAAAAATAAATTTTAAGATTACTAAAAAAGATAAACTACAAAACAGCACTTTGCTTACCGTGTGAAATTCGTCCATTCTTCTGCCTTGCAGTTCGTGATGCTTTCGTGAACATCATATAAATACAAGTTTCCTTCAGTGTCGCCCACAGCCAGCTGTTGACCTTTAAAACTTTCCCAGGTCTTGAAAAATGTCAAGCAAAAACTATTGAATCTCTACAATTTTCAAAAAGCTTTCGTCGAACGCGGAAGTTTGGCACCAAAACAAATGTACAGCACAGCAAAGACAACAGGAAACTACACTTTCTTCCAGTGTGTGAAGACTGCAATTTTTTTAGGTACTAAGAGGAACCAAAAATCTATACGATTTTGGATTTTACCCTTCGTACCACAGATAAGCCCAAATCAAAAATGAAGCTGAAAAGAAAAAACATTTAACCATTTTGGGTCCACAAGAGTTTTCTGATCCCGTTCCCATCCTTCGTTTGTAGTCGCGCAACTGGAGCATCAGTATCTTCATTAAGGTTCCATAAAAACAACTGCAAAAAATTGGAAAATTAAATGCATTTCGAAAGTAAATTATAAGTTATGACAGCTAGATGATAAAAATCAAGAACATTTCCAGAGCACTAACATTTCCACCGACATCGCCGGAAACGAATACTGCTGGATGTGTTGGCGACCATGCAACATCCATAACGTAATCATCATGTTTTTCAAATGAACAATGAGTTTTCGGATCCTAGATAAATGAAAAATATCCTTATTTGTAACATGTGTCTTCACAGCCATAAGCTTTCCAAAACAAGTTGAGCAGAAAAATGAGCCAAATATATTTTAAAAAAAAGAACTTTAGAGCTCCAAAGCTTGATAGTCCAATCAAGAGAACAACTGAGGAAGAGATGTGATAAATCAATCAGGCTTGTTGAAATATGAGAGTTGACACCCGTTACTGGACCCATATGCCCTACAAAAGAGAAGAACTATTCCAGAAAGAAAAAGATACCAGAAAACAGCTGGGGAATAGATCCCTTAATAACCCACCCTCAAAGCTTTCATTGATGCCTCCTTTATTACCATGCCTGCTTGCAGTATATACAGCCCCTTCTTCACTACCAACGATAAAATTGTTTACATCATCAAAAAGAAACGACATACACAAACATGTGACCTAAAATAATTTAAATGGAACGCCATCATCCATGTTCCAACCACTCAACTCGATAAGTTCAAATACAAAATGCTGCAGAGTGAAGCGCCAAGTCTCAGTCGCTAAGGACATTAACAGAGCTTCGTGCTGTGCAACTGTATCATAAAATACGTTATCAAAATAGCAGAAAAAAATTGAAAATCATTACTTTGAGTGCTAAGAAGCAAAAAAAACGTAATCTCAAATGCATTTGCCAAAAAAATTGGGTTTCTTCACTTTGCTAGTACTTTAAAATAGAATTACCTAGATCGTCACTCTCAAGTTAAATTGTAGTTGAAACTCAAAACTATCCTAACCTTTATTAGTTCGCACTCTTCTGCTAAAACTCAAGTGAAATATACTTTCAACTGCACTATTCCAAAAAAAAGAAATAAATAAAAATTTTAGTCTCTGCCGTTCTTTTTCAATCAAGTTCCTGTCGAAAACTAACCTTAGTTTCGAGAGCGTCCATCATTTCTAAAATGTTAAAGAAACGAGTCGGCAGAAAGTTATTTTCCAAAAATTCTTTGTACTCCTTCTGTCTTTTTATCATAAGGCTATCTCAAAGATTTTTTACTTTCGGAGAGATTTATAGTTCAAAATGTTATCTCTATTGCGTGCAATAATTTATACTCCGTGTCATAGCGTTTCATTTATGAAAATGTATTGAGAAGTAGAAAATGAACATGATTTCAGTATCTTTAAATTAGAAGAGAGCATTACGAAAGAAGTGACTTGAAAGCAATTAGATAACTGTTTCAAAACGCCTGCAAAAAAATATAAACAAACCGATTTTTGCTTCCAATTGAGGTCAATAACATCAATCGGTTGGGCAAGGTTGTCAATGCTCCAGGAGCATAGTTTACCGTCACTAGAAATGGTGACTAAATTATGGGCATTTTGGCTGCCGATAACAGCCATACTAAATACTGGATGAGTATGAGCCTGTGACGAAAGAGGACTCTAAAAAATTTAATGACTGCACGGTTGCTGGAAAATACTTTAAACAAAAATACAAGAGACTGTAAACCTTATTCACAGGTGTCTTTTTGTGAAGCCTATTATCCCACATACATATCTGACCTGAATAGCAACCACCCAGAATTAAATTTGGATGAAACTTCGCAAACGCAACACTGGTTAACCGAGATTGGCAATAAAAAGTGAACCTAAAATGATCGCGATACTGTTAAAATTGCATAGTAACAAATTGATTTAATTTTTTTATTTCCAGAAAATGTAAGCCCTTTCTTCACCCTTTCTTCTATTACAACAGGTTAAATTATTTGAAGCATTGGAAAATAAGAAGCTAACTCTGGAGTTGGCTTTTTGAAGCGTGTATTCCAGACTTGCACTACTCCGGTTGCGGCCAGAGGATGATCAGTACAGTGATCATAGGAAACAACAACCAACTCAGGATGCTGCTCACAATAATCGATTGCTGTAACGCACCTGCAAAAATAAAAAATTATAACCACTAAAGCTGTACGACGATAGAGAAATACTCTCTGCAACCACCAGTGAGATGATACACAATAAAGAATCGTAATTTCATCGACATATTCACCGTCAGACAGCCAATAAAGAAAACATTTCCTTCCGGAGTAAAGACGAAAAAACAAACAAAAAACCAAAAGAGTTTGGATCATCTTATAACAAGATGCATGTTTCAAATTCAGTCACAAATTTCTCCCAAGCTCTAGAAAATAACAAATCGGCGATTTATGAACTCGAAACAGTAAATACCAGAAACCGTTGAACAGTGAAAAACAAACTCAACTAGCTCTAAAAAGTCAAAAAATCCCGAAACATAATTAACTGTGTAACGGTCTGGAAAATTTTCATAAATTGATGGTATACAACTCGGCAAAAACTCACTTTTTGAAGCGAACTCAAACTTGGGATTTTGTGGCAAAGGAGTTACAGACAAATCCTTCAGAATTCTATACCAAACAAACACCAACTCTGACACAATAATCGGTGACGGAAGAATTTAACCTCGGTGGGAAACTTATTCTCACCTACACCTCTAGTGAATCAAACTGCGCAATGCTAAGGCAAAATATCGCGAAAATAAGCTCAAGGACAGAAAAAATTTTTAACTTTTGTATGGATGAAGACCACTTTACCTTCCAGCACTCCACTTTTCATCGACAAATACTCTAGACAACAGAAGTTTCTGACCATTATCTGTCTTATCATCGTTAGCTGCATCACGCGTATAATCGATAAAAACGTCAACCTGAAAAGCAATACAAGCTGGCGCCCATAAATTCTAATATAAAATAACACTGAATAGACGATCACATGTGCAGAAGACATATGAAGTGATAAATTTTCTACAGAAGACTAGAATCAGACGATTCCAAACAGATGTTCGCGATCTCCCTAACAACGCTACAGAAAAGTGGAACAAAGAGAGAAAAATTTCGAGACACAAAGTTTTCAAGCTAAATAAACAAAATTGCTTTTTTGAGTAGAATAAAGAATTAACCAATTTAATAAGCTTCACTTTAAAAAAGCTAAAAACACAACAGTAGACCTCCTCAGCCAACTGCCTTTCCATTATCTTAGAGCTAAACTCGAAGAACTGCTGGAACTTCGCACTGCTGAGGATCTGCAGTTTTTCTTCCTCGCTCAAATCAGGAGCCCTCCTATTGTCCTCATTCTCATCTGCAACCTGAAAAACCTTGACAATAAGGTTCTATAACAATTAGAAAGGTGTAACGGACAGTTATAATATTTTGGTAATTTTGAAACCGACACAAACTGAACCTCATGTTGTTGACGCATATTGAACTGAATATTTGGGAACAAAGTCGCGATTTGTCTGGTAGGAGATTCGTCTAAATTTATGTCAAGATGCTTATCCATAATGCCTAATTCATCTTCAAAATCGAATTCTTGAGAACCAAGGCTAAACTCTCCTCCGGAAACCCTGTCATCATCAGTTTGAGTAGTTTTGCAGTAGGAGGCCTAAAATAAACTGTTTTCTCAAAATATGCAATGGAGCACTTAATCTGAGCTACTTAATAACAGTACAGATAAAACTGTAAAACGCACGTAATCTTTCGGAGGTATTGACGTCATCTGGACTTCTGCAAGCGCTAAGCCACGAGACTTCGAGCTAACGCTGGCAACACCATCCTAAACAGTCTACTTCTTTTGAAAAGTAATAGAAAATTTTTAGATAATGCAGTTACTTTCGGAAAATTGAAGCAAAGTCACTGAAAAAAAAAAGACAATTCCTGCAATTCAACCAACAACCAAGTTTCAGAACTACTTTGGAAAAATTTATTGAATGAAGTATTATAACTACCTGATACACCAAAACAAGTGAAACAATTTGCCAATAAACAAAAACATTACTTCCACCTATTAATACATGAATTCTGAAGAGCAGTCCTCATGAAAAATGGATGACATAAATTTAAAACGAACAGTACTACGCTGAGATCCATCTGTGCTGTGCGGTGTTGGCGGCCTCTCAATCTGAGGTTGAGAAGGAATACCAATAGATTCCAGATACATATCAAGGTCCTTCTGAGACATGCTCGGTCGCATCTCAGGAACTAAAGCCCCAAGTTCTATACAACCACCAGATTTCATATTCAAGACTGCTCGAGCAATTAAAGAATAGGATATGGCTAATCATAACGTATCACATGAAGACGACTAGGCTGCTCATATATAAAAATAATTAGCTAAATATTTTACCTTAAAGAGTTTTGTTTCCAAGGTTCTAATTAAAACCTGTTT